TATTACGTCTTATCTCCGTCTTATCCACATATTTACACAAGTTATTTCTGTCAAAATCCAATAGTCTACTCATCAATAATTCAGAAATAGAGTAATTTTCCCCACAACCTACGCCCTATAATCGATCGAAGGCTTGAAACAAACAACTTAAGGCCCCGTCGAGCGCCAAATAATCGGTCCGAAATAGCTCCCATTCATAAAACGTAGCGTGTGTTCGTTTGTCGTTAATGGCGTTCTAAATTCGTTTTAAGTGTTGTGCATGTACTTGAGCCGCGTTTCATGAAACATGTCAAAGGACCATTAAACAAACGACCTGTTGACCCAGTGCCCTATTTCGGAACAACCCTAGTCAGAAACAAACCACGCACGTGCCACAGTCACCCGCATTTTGTTCATCTCCCTTCGATTTCCAGGAGAATAATATCATTCAGGGTGTTTGCTATGAAAATCCCCAAATAATTCTGGAGAGAAGGGTGTAATATAAATGTCTATAGTTGTCAGCAGCGTTCTTTAGGGCGAAGTTCGAGTTTGAACATGATAGAATTGATTTTTTTTTGTCATTTTAACATCTACCTGCATGTGTCATCAAAACAATTGTTCATAAAGTACAAAAAGATAATTCTAAAAACTGCGTCCAGCAATACATCACATCATAGATAAAAAGGATAAATGAAAAAGATAGAACGGATTTTCACTTATTAGTAGACCTTAAATAGGTCATTTTGATCTTAATTCTTCTGTTATGAGTTTGATGTAGCAACTTCCTTGCTAAAAATTAGGATCCTTAATCAACATGTATTTTACTTCTTAGTTTGCTTGAATACCTTATTTATGAAGGATGGTAAATATAAAATCTATTTTCAGTGTTCTTCATATTTTTGGCCTTGTGTATTCTGAAGTTTATAATCTGAATATTATTGCATTTACATTTCGTGTACAAGTTAAATGCAACTTAAATTTTTGAAACTATTGCAATTATTGTTGAGCATGCAATAATTAAGAACTTCAACGCCGGAATATTAAGGGGGTATTCTAGTGTAGAAATTCAAAAAAATCGATTTTTTTTATTTTATATTTTCAAAATTCAAGTATCTAAGAATATGGGTACGAGAAGGTTTTTGAAAAGTTGAATTATTTTCGGAGATATAGGCATTTTACTGACTCGGTCTCCATACTGGTTTGGTTTCACGCAAAACTTTAAATGCGTTTTTCTCAGAACAGACTTTTTCAGTACTGTTGACACGATTTCTAGAGTTTTAATCGACCGATTTACTTGAAATGTTCAGAGAGTCTTGTTTATAGAGCTATCTATAGCCCGAACTAGGATTATCCCCAAATTCCAATGTTTACTATTTTTAAAAAAGAAAGAGAAATTCAAAAAAAAAAAAACAGTAAAAAAACACTTTTGTTTCAAACAGTCGCCAAATTGTAAAAAGAAAATCTTTGTATTTTTGCATTTCCGATGGCAAGGAGGGCTGAAATCATGTCAAGACTGAGGAGCCAATTTTTTGAGACTTCCCACTGCCAGTTCCTTTAATTTTCAACTTTTTTATTTTTTATTTTTTGTTTTGTATTAATAATATTAATAAACAAGTGGTAAAAATGGATAGTAAAAACATTCATTGCTATCTTTCATGACACTTTAAAAATGACCTAATATTCATCGCACTACACTAGAAAATCCCCTTAAGCACATTCTAAAAAGTGTGCTCAATGTGCTCCTCCCAGTTGTTAATAATTTTATTTAAGCTTCAGTATTCACCGCAAATTTTCCACCTTCATAGATAATGATTGCGAGTTGCACGTGCATATATCATTATAACAAACTTATTTAATTTAAATATCTATTTATACGATTTCGTTTTATGTGCCATTACCATAATTCCCTCTAAAGACCTGAGTTCATTCACTGAGCCCGAGCGCATGGCAAACTTTATTTCTGGGGAATTTTCCGACATTTGGGTCAACAAGGGCGCGTGCAGAATACGAATGGAAAACACCTTTTATACGCAGTTTATTTTTACAGTACCTCAAATATGAAATTGGAAATTGATATAAATGGAATAAATCCGTTTTTTAAATAGGGCTTGAAATGCTTTCTGTAATATATTAATTAATAATATATTTATTTTAGAAGCAAAATAAATTAATTGCGGATGGAATCTTGTTATCAAATATTTTTATGTATTCTATTTTAATCATAAGAATACTGGTAGATGCATCGGTTCATTTATTATTTGCATAAGGCAAAATAGAATAATATTTTAGAGCTAAGATTATCTAAAATTACTTGGTTAAACTTTTCTAGATTCTTTTGTCGATTTCGATCGGTTATGTTTCTAATTATATTTATAGTCTTCTAATTATTCTTTTTAGTGGAAAATTGAATTGTCGTTAATAGAAAAACAGTATTTTTTCAAATAAACTATCTTTAGTAACGAAATAAAAATCTAAAATCTAAGTGATTCTTAACTATTTATGACCGCTGAATTGCATTCATTAAAACAATTATATATATATATATATATATATATATAATACTGTACAATATTCCCTTTTTTATTATTTTCTCCCGGCTTTTGCTGAATGAAAATTGATCCAGTTTTGGCCTCGGAAAACTGGAGCGAGGCGTTACGATCCCTGATTTCACCCTCCAAATGTAGGTCACTGGGATATATCGTAGGTCCGGGTTGTTGCCCTATATAAGATACTCAAACGTTATATGTGTTATCTTCCATTAGAGTCTTCAAATTGTATCTTCATATTTTATGACGAAAGAAATAATTAAAAACATTTTTTAGTTAATATTATTATGTATATACTAGGGTTTGTCGGTTTTCAAAAACCGGTTTTTTGACGAAAATTATGGAATTCGAAAACCGGTTTTTTAGTAGAAAAGCCAGTTTTCACTGTATAAATAGAAAATGACAAAAATAGCCAAATATAAAAGATAGACGCAAGCGTTTTGATTCTTAAAATAATTTCTACTATTCTTAAAATAATTTTGTTTACTATCCATAAAATTGACCAATAAATAAATTTAGTTAAATACTGCTTTAAATTGCACTAAATTTGCGGATAAATATTTGTTATTACAGAATATTTGAGCAAAAATTTATTTTCTATATAAAATTTGAAAACCGGCTAAAACCGGTTTCTGGTAAAATTAAAATTCGAAAACCGGTTTTCTGAAATGTCGGTTTTTGTATAAACCCTAGTATATACATCAGAGCAGATTGAAATGAAATAGATCGATACAATGTTGATATTATGTTTCACAGAGTAATCTAAAAATAGGGAGTTATATTATTTAGTATTAGTCCTTATTATAGGCATTAGTAATATTATTCCCTTCAATTTTAGTATCTTCTATTACATACATGTTATTGGCACTTTTCAGTTGATTTTAGTAACAATTATTATTGACTTGAATATTCTTCAAAAACCAAGTTTCTAATAAATGGCGTTCCTAATTCATGTGATGTATCAAAATAAATTTAATTATTTAAATGCCATTTTTATCTAATTAACAAATATTTTATAATATTATTGAAAACGAATTGGCTTACTATTAATAAGTAAGTATTGATAAATATTTAGGCATTACATTAACATATTTTATGCGGATTTCTCATATGTTGCTAATAATAAACGTTCCGTTATAAAGTGCACTACAGTTTTAAGATTGTGGTATAGCGCGAACTGGGTCATTTGCCTAGATTCGACGATGCGGGGTGCCCCATTCCTCTGGGGACTCTGGGAGGCTTCAATTCATTGACGTCACGGGACTCATTCATATCGACGCTTGAAGCGCGGTATTGGCCAACTTGTTTTCGGGAACGATGATAAAATATTAAATCTATTTTGGTACCTTGGCACTCGTTAGACGATTTTTATTATTTTGTTGTTCTTGCATGTTTTACATCTAGATTCGAATTGTTTTCATTGGGAATGGATTATTATTATTGAAATTATTCTTACATTTTATTGTATATATATGAAAACAAAGAATTTTTACAATGGTTATGATCAATTAGTATATTTTGAAAATTTTCCCCTGCTGAATGATGAAGTTCTAGTATCGAAACTAGTGCAAAAAAAATAATTATTCATAATTATTTATAATGATTAAAACCTTCTTTGAGCCGAATTTTTCTTTTACATCTACAAAAATTAGGGGAAAAAATCAGTAATTAGAAGCCTATAGTTGCAAATGAAATGCAAAATATTGTGTTTAAACTGTTTTTTTTATATTGATGAATTATGTGACTTTCATGGCACACTGGCCTATAATGTCCTCACTTCTGTGAATGAAAATGTTATTTCACGCTGAAAAGCCTAGTAAAGGTGGTTATAGAATTCATCTTAAGAAAAAATCATATAGAAGGTAACGTATATCTAATTGTAAGAATTTGGAATTTGATCTGAAAGTTGCGGAGGCCCATAAGTTGTGAATTATATGTTAAAAACATCGAATTCTTATGTAAGCAAAGGTTTAAGATTACTGGCGTCTCAAACCTATGAGAACTTAATGATTTTAGTGATATCCAACATATTTTTTTAATTATAGCAATGGTGCATAATAATATATTTACCCTCATGATGGAACGTATAGTCTTGAAATATTTGTAACCTTATCATTCAATAAGTAGTGCAAAAAGAGTGCACGGTGTTTATATTTCCTTTGATTTTCTATTTAATCTCATAAAATATTCTGCACAAAATATTAATAGTTCTTAAGAAGAAAAGTTTCCAAAAGGAATAAAAATTTCTTGCTAGTAGCTTGTGATGGCAATAATATAATTATTTATTGAATTATGGTATTTTAACAAATGGACAAACTTTTCAGCTTCGATTTTCCATATTATTTTAAAGAAGCATTTTTTGCTCAAGAACTTCATCAATTTCTTGATAACCAATAAATTTTTAAATTGGTAAAAAGCTATGTATTATATTTTTTAGTTAGAATAATACTAATTTATTATTATTATTTTTTTCAGATTTCCCGACAAAGTATCGACGCTTGCAAAGACTATTTCAGAGAGGATTTAGTGAAGACTGATTGGCAATTGATGGTTGAGTTGAAGAAATTATTCCAGATACTTTGAAAATTAAGTCCAACATTTTGGATTGACGTAGTGCACCCGTGTAGTTGTTTTTCTATAAATTTGAAACATTTTCTGCTCTCAAATATTATTTTTTCTATATATTAAAATTGTATATTAACCAAGTTATTATAATAGTATTATAATAAAAGTATATGTTTATGCCGACCTTATCCAAAATTTTTTTCCGTGCTTTATTTTTTGATTTGTCTAATTGTGCATTAGTGAATCGAAAAATAAAATCTATACGTATATTATAATTGTATATAAGGAATGTTGTACGATGTGATGACTTCATTTCGTTGATTGCAATTAGTTTGATATTGTCATAGATGTACTTACCGTCTAGAGACTAAATGAGACTATTGATGTACCTATTAATTAATAACACTTTTTACCTAAATTCAAATTCAAAATTCTATTTTTGAAATATATCTTCAACGTATTATATGGTGTTAGGTTATAAAATTAAACTATATATAATTTGTGTAATGTGTAATAATTGGACAAAAATAAAATAGATATATTTACAATAAAATGTTGCCCAACATCGACATATATTGCTTGTATATTTATTTATAAAAATAATATTCTAAATTTGTATGACAGATCAAATATTTCTCAAAATTTATTATTTTATTGGAAGAAATAAATGCAAAGTTATCAATTGGACTAGAATTTTTTAATTTTGTGCATTCTTAAATCATAGAAATGTGCAATTGTATAAATGCAAAGTTTTTATTAATGCTTTTATGTATTTTTACATCAAATTAAAAATGGTTTGTAATTCTTATTCTCGAATAAGAAATCTCTTGTATAGTAATATAGTGTGTAAAACTTGATCTTTGTTATAACACATTCAACACTTTTAGTCGAGCTACAAAGAGTTATTATTAATTTTATATTTTTTCTTTCAGTTTGGATCTACTCAAGGTATTATTAATACATTTATACTATTTATATATGGTTTGTGTGAACAGGCTTTCCTCAACTGATAGAAAATATTGTCGGCTTCTTCACCATTGTAGAAGGTAAGTTGACTTTAGTTTAATACATAAATACATTATAGCCTAGGAATATACATATAATCATACATAGACCAAATTGCAAAATTGGACGATATCTAATCTCATATAACACATTTTGTCACAGCCTGTAACAAAAGGCAACATTATCTGATATAATACCGATATCGCACCCATTAGTTCGACTTTAATGAATCATGATAATATGTACTCTTTTCATTCAACAAATTACATTGAACATTCTCGCTACATGAATGAACGTCTTGTTATCAGCAATGACAATATTACTAGCCATAAAAATACATCAGTTTGAATAAATATGTACCATCTTTATTATCTTAGAGATAATGCGTATCAGTTTTAAATTTACGACTGATAAAGGCGGCATCACTAATTATTATTACCATAGTTCAACATAAATAGGACCCACAAATTTTATCTGATATATAGAAAGGAAGCTAGATGTAGTTATGGAAAGATAGGGAAATTATGACTTGATTTTGAATGCAAATGTTGATGATTGATTTTACTATACAGATGTAAGTTGTTTTTCGTTTCAACTAGAATATTATAAGAGCATATATATATATATATATATATATATATATATATATATATATATATATATATATATATATATATATATATATATATATATTTATATAAGGGATTTTTTATCGTAGAAGAATCTCAGGATATCTACACCTATTTTGAACATTCTATTATCAGGCCTTGATCACTTATCACATTATCATAAGCATTTTTCTTCATATTATTATAAATACTTAATATTTGTGTTAGGCTTAATATCGTGTTAGCCTTATATAAATTAATTAGAGTAAAATTAATTTTATTTTTTCTATTAAGATATAATTAAAAATACTAAGATCTAACTTGCTAAATATTTCATATCCAATGTCAAACAAATAAATTTTTGATACAAGGAACAAAATTCAAAATCATTTTTTCAATAAGTAGAAATACTCTTTTGTATTTGAATAATTTAGTATAGTAAAGCAAAATATTACATGCATAAGTTTAAAAAAATAATGTATATGCAATTTTGAACGCATTGTGTTATTAATTAAACTAAATTATATATTTTTTTACTGCAAAAAACATATATTGTATATTATATTGTTTTAATTATGACAAATCTCAGCTGGTTCTCGGCAATAATATTGAAGATATTACATTTTTATTATTTATAATCATGAATATAGATATTATATACTAATATTAGAATACAGGACGTCTGTTGGGTCATCTAGTATATATATATATATAATATATATTATATATAATATATAATAATATATTAAATATAATATATAATATATAATATATAATAGAATAAATATATAATATATTAAATATTATATATATATATATATATATATATATATTGAAAAATTTGACATGCAATTTTTTGACAGCCCATATTTGTCAAGTTGTCATCTTGCAACTAACAAGGACGGACCAAAAATTTGCTACCTTAACGCTACTAGTTTTAACACAATGTCGGACAATGTTTGACAGCTAGTTAATATAGGAAATTAATTTTATAATGCATCAACCTCAGTTTTTTTTTTACTAAGTTTTATTGAGTGTTAAAAGTGTCTTATAAAATTATAAAAAAAATGTATTATAACTCTTTGTTTGAAACCATCCTCATGGGCAATGATATATATAAATTAAGTGTAAGTGAAAACATTTAGACAATCAAAATGATCCTCCATTTGATAGATATAAAATAAGAGTACAAAAGTAATGGAAACATTTCCTTTGTATGCCTCGTTAATGAGCTGAATGAAATATGATTTGACAGATTTTTATGAATTGCTTTGGTTAGACAATACGAATTCATTCATAAGATATGTAACTACGGCATGGAGGAGTATGTCATCATCGTAATAGGTATATATATATATATATATATATATATATATATATGTATGTATGTATGATTTACGACATATGTCATATATATGCGCTTCTTCATTCATAATTCAAGGTGAGCCATTATGAATCTTGCGTTGCACTGTAAAACATTCGAACTCGAGCATTTATTGAAAATAGGCGTTTCGGTAGAAGTTTACTCACAATTTCTGTTCGATTCTAAAAATTATTAAATATTATTATTGAAATTAATGTAAAGTTATTTGTTATATGCATAAAAACACATGGTTTAAAATGTAGACCAAAACGTGTTTCCAATTGCACATTGCTATTTCGGGTGCTCCGATAAATAATCAGAATGAAGGGCTTCTTACAATATATGTATATATGCAATGCTGGATTTACAGTAGGGGTAATCGGAGCTAGTTCCCAGAGCGGCAATTTTTTTGGGGCTGCAAAATTTGGAAAAAAATATAGAATATGTATGTAATAATATAAAAAGTATGTAGTAATCCATGATAATTTTTTTGCAAGCAAATAGTTATTTTAACCCTCTCCACTTGCTAATTACTAGATTTATATGAATTTAGCCGCCGGGCGGTAGCTTTCGAGTGGAAAGGGTCAATTTTAGATAAATGAGATAAAAAATGGGGCGGCATTTTCGTCAGTGCCCCAGGGCGCCAAATTTCTAAATCCGGCCCTGTATATATGTACATATATACTATCTATTAGTACTATTATATCTAATATGTTAGTGTTATATACAAATAAGCGTATACTAGTTCAAAATGTAGATCAAAACATGTTTCCAAATACAAATTACGATTTTGGGTGCTCCGGTGAAAAATGAAAATGAAAAGTCTTACATTACACGTATATTCGGGATTCGAATTATAGTTTTATTTTTCTGAGATTTTGATGAAACTTTGTATGTTGGGCGAGTCGATAGTCAAAATGAACTTCTTGAAATATTATAGGCCTATGTAATGCGGTTTAATTTGAAAGAATCTGATCGTGTTTCCATACATAATTGGCTCTACCCTGATATTTAAATGATTTTGATTTTGTAGTTTTACTCGAAAAAATCCGATGCACCCATTTTATAGCTTTCTTCGAAAAAATCCGATATACCCATTTTCAACTCCCTAGCTCATCATTTGGCCGAGATATCATTGAAAATATGCGAAAGTGGCCCCATTTTTCAGAGTCACTTTTTGTCACAACTGTAGAGGATATCGACAAACAAAAAACGCCATTCTATTCACATCGATGTGGACTATATTATCAATAACAAACATTGATAAATAATTATTTGTTCTGATCTAGAATTTAATAAAATCGATTTTGTTTTCTCGCATATTTTCATAGTATAACTATTCAAGAATACGTGTACAAGAGGATTTTTCTAAATTTGAATTAGTTTTGGAGATATTGCTGTTTGATTTCGACAATCCACATCTGTTTCCTTCCTTTGCAAAACTATAAACGCATTTTTCTTGAAATTGTCTTTTTCGATATGAGATTCACGATTTCTTAAATTTTTCTAGACCGATTTACTTGAAAATTGCACAGAGTCTTCTATATAGACTACTCTTCGGTATAAACTACGCTTATTGCCAAATTCCCATTTTTGCTATTTATAAAAAAAATCGAAAATATAGAAAAAGGCGAAAAAAAAATCTTTCAAACTGTCGTTATTTTGTGAAAAAACGATTGCGACATTATTCTAGGTTAATAAAAAAAAATTTTTTTCTTCATTTTATTTTGTGGTATTAAATCTGCAATGACTTACTACAGAATATCTTATTTTGTGGTCTAAAATCATGTGTATAGTCACGTGCCAATTAATTGAGACCCCAACCTTCAACACCTTCTCGAAATAAAATTTTAAGAAGACTATTTCCAAATTTTAACTCTTTTTAATATTCTTAAAACATTCATTAATAACATGTGGAAAATACAGTAAAAATATTTTTAAAAAAATTTCTTATTAATTTTGAAAAATTGCAGAAATTTCGTGCCTCTATTTATTATTTACAGTGGTGTATTTGATACATCAGCCGCTTGACTATGTAAATGGTCGTAGGCGACTGTCGCATGGCTCGTGTCAATTCGCATAAACTATATTCCAAGTAATAGTTATGGCGTGATTTACGAATTCAAGGCTAATATTAATTCTAATTGATGAGACGTTGTCTGTCGCCTTGTGCGCGGAAATTTGTTTACTTTCCATAATGGGT